GGGGCAGGAATGAATGGTAAAAATTTAAAAGTCCTAAAAAGGCTTGTAGTTCCGCCTTGGAAGAGGGCGGGGGCGCATCCACAATGGCACGAATCTTGTCCTGAGTGGGGTGGGTTCCCTGGGCATCCACAGCAAACCCCAAGAATCCCATCTGCAGCACCCCCAGTAGGCACTTTTTGCACTTCACCTTCAGGCCGGCGTCGTTGAAGCGCTGGAGCACCGTCCGGAGCTGGGCCACGAAGGTCTCAGAGCCTGGCACCGCTATCAAAACATCATCAAAGAATTTCTGGACTCCTGCGATGCCTTTGAGGAGACTATCCATGAGGTTATGGAAAATCCCTGGTGCCACGCTCACCCTGAATTGAAGTTGTCTAACTCTGAAAGCCCCCCTATGGGTCACTATAGTTTGGGCCTCAGCAGTGGCTTCGTCCACCGGCAGCTGTTGGTATGCTTGAGCCATGTCCAGTTTCCCGAAAACTCGTGCCTCTGCCAGATATGCCAAGACATGACTGACCACCGGTACCTGGTACGTGTGGTCCTGGAGTGCCTTGTTAATTGTACACTTATAGTCGGCACAAATTCTGACATCCCCATTGAGCTTTATAGGGGTGACACTGGGGGTTTCCCACTGGGCATATAGCAGGGGTTCTAGCACCCCCTGTTCCACGAGGCAGTCAAGCTTGGCCTCGATCTTGGGCCATAGTGTGAACGGGGGCTGCCTGGCCTCCATCCGGATGGGCCTCACCGTGGGGTCTAGTTCAAGGGCAACCGGGGGTCCAGAGTAGCGGCCGAGCATGCTATCGAACACCCTTGGAAACTCATCGCAGACTGAGTTAAAGTTCTGCGGCCGTACGTGGTTTACGCCCGTCACCCCAAAACCCAGTGGGCTGAACCACGAGAGTTCCAGGAGGCTCATGAGCGTCCCTTCTACCACCAGCAATTCTAAGAGTCCATCAAAGTACTGCACCCTGAACTTGCCCCCCCATGGCCACCAGGTTCTTTTGGAAGTCCCGCAGTGTCAGGCCCCGGGGCTGCTGAAGGAGGGGTCCCCCCCCCGAGGGCAGAGCTTCTGCAGGGTTTCCGCAGAGATTATCGAAAATGATGACCCCGTGTCCAATTCCATCTTACAGGGGGACCCCTCTATTAATAGGGTAACATGCATTTTTGGGGGGGCGTCTGGGGCAAGTTCAGTATCTGATGCTGGTTGATGGTAAGGGTATGCAGGTCCTCATGGTGGGTGGATGTCTTCCGTCGCGTCCCTCTGGAGCGGCAGGCCCAGGCGATGCGTCCTTGTTTGCTACAGGACCGGCATATGGCGTCTCGGAAATGGCATCCTTTCATGCGCCTCCCCGCAGCTGGCGCAAGAGGCCTGGGTGATGGGCTTCTCGGGATGTGAGGTCGTTGCTGCCAGTGGCCGCAGATTCTGTTAAGCGGGGCCCCGTACCTGCATGATTTTCTCCTAGTCCAAGATGTCGGAGACTGGGGATGCACTTGTGAGGTGTGCTGTATGGCCGCAGCATTTTTGATTGTGACTTCTCACATGCCGTGGCTTCCCATAGGGCCTGGTCCAGTTTCAAGTTCTCGTGGCTAGCGAGCTTGCAGCGTAGCTTGGGCTCCTGTAGGCCTACCACGAACTGGTTCAGTAGTGTGTTGCCAAGCCTGGGGAATTCATATCGGGTGGCCGCCCGGCAAAAGCCCTCCAGGAAGTTGGTTGCAGTTTCGTCGGGACCCTGGAGGCGCGCAAAGAAGTCCAAGTGATGTGCCATTTTGGTTGGTTTCGGTGCGAAGTGGTCGATGAGCGCCTTTTCCAGTTCTGCATAAGTGGTCTCTTTAGGAGATTTTGGGGCTAGCAGATCTTTCAGTAGCCGGAGCGTCTCTATTCTGCATGAGCTGAGCATTAGGGCTTTCTTCTTACCCTCGTCCGTGATGTTGTGGAAGTCGACATAGTACTCGAGGTGCTCAAGCCATGTTTCCCACTGCTCAGGATGCATGGCATCGAATTTGGGGAGGTTACCCGGAGCGGCAGCCATGACTCGGGAGGCAGCACATGGCAGAGGGTTGCCTGGAGCAGTGCGGGGCGCGGTGACCGGAGAATCGGTGCGCATTGCGGTGCTGGACCTGTGGGCAGCGATGCGGGGCACAGTGTCTTGGTGGTCGGAGCATGGTGTGGTGCTCGTGTCTGCGTTGGAGTCTGGCTCGCTCATCGGGATCCCACCTTCGTTGCCAGTATAAAGTACCGAGACTGAGGCATAGCATAGTGATTTCAGCTCATACTTTATGAGTTAAATGGAGAACTTGAGATAACTTGCGGGTCCCACGGCCCGCTTATGTTCTTGTTCAAACCACACCCAACACACCCACCCACTCCCATGATAGGGTATAAAAAATACTACTTTCACTCACTGGTTTCCTTTAGGATCTGGACTGGCCGATTGGCGAGTCCTCGGATCCTCTGTTTCTATTGTTGTTGGAAGTGAAGCTCAGCCGGCCACGTGTGAGCTCGACCCCGTGTGGAGTCTTGCTTGGTATACAATAGTTGGCAACCCTAAGGTTGCAGGCTCTCACTTTGTGGGGATCTACGGGGTCTGCTCTGCTGCCCTGTAGGCGTGCCTCTGCCTCTGTGTGCTCCATCTGTATATTTCTTAAAATAAATACTACAAAATCACAATGAATTTCCAGTGGTCTCTCCTCCAAAGGGAGCCAGCCTGGGGAAGCACTAGCCCCTGGAAGTTCTCACCACTCAAAATAAGAGGGGTGCACATAATGCTGGTGTTTGAAGTGGCCCACTGCTTCCTTGGAGAGAAACCGCAAGGTGGTGTTTGCAGCACTAGCAACAAGAAACGAAGTTTCAGCAGAAAATCCAGCAGTTTGAAGTCAAATCCCTGAAAGCTTCATCATGGCAAAAGGATGAAATGAAAGACAGTTTTGAGGCAAATGAACATTTGATTATGCACTGGTTTTTATATTCACTAATGGTTTTTGGTATTCGCCAGAGTCTCAGGAATGACTGGTATCAATTCCACCTTGATCCCCAGTGCTTCCTAAGTCTGCATGATGTTCGGGGAGACATTTAATTTGTAGCAAAGAAATGAAGTACCATAATACAAAAATAACTGAACAGGAGAAGGAAGGGTTGAAGGCATCTAAATGCCGAGCAGATTCCCCCACGCCAGATCTTCCTGCTGTCTTTCGGCTATGACCAAGAGCTTGTATCCCACAGCCATGCCCAGGCCTTAAGTACCTGCACAGGAGAAAGACAAACAGTCAGCATGGATGTTTCGAGCTAGCAGCCATCCTCGCACAATTTGCCTTCCTACTCAAGTAGTTGAGTAATAGAGCTGGGAAAGGGAATGTGGCTGATAATGAGAATGCAATAAGTAGGAAAGGGAAAGCCTCCCAGAAAATATTTGCCCAATGCTGCTTATGCACAGCAGTGGGTTACATTTGAAAACTGCCACATGATGTAGCTGGGACTTACCCCATTGCTGCCTTTGTGGGCTCCAGAGCTGGGGGGGCCCAGCAGGCAGTGGCCATGCAGTCGGTGGCCAGAATGGTGGGTGGGTCCAGGGTCTACAGGAGAACCCCTCCCTCTGCATGCGGGCGATCATGTCAGGGGAGGCAGGGTGGCGGGTGGTCCCAAGAACCTTGCCTGCCCTTCCCTGCCTTTATGTAAGATTGCCACCACCTGGACCTTGGCCCTGATTTTTCATGGTATTTATTTCCCAAGCACCTGTTGTCTGGTTGTTTCATTCTGTACCTTCACTCCCCTTTATGCCTCTGGGCGCACAAACTCTCTCCATCCCACAGATAGTTGGTACTAGGTTGACAGGAGGGAAGTAGAAGAGTTTGAACTTCCTAACTGTAAGAGTGGTTGAGCAGTGGAACAGTCTGCCTCGGGAGGTGGTGGATGCTCCTTCGCTGGACGTTTTCGAGTGACTGGACAACCATCTTTCGGGTATGTTGTAGGTATGTAGGGCCAGGGCTATTTTTGGGCAGGAACGCACAGGAACGGAGTTCTGGCTGGCTCCTGAGTTGGCCACACCCAGCAGGAACTTATTAGCATAATAGGCCACACCCAACAGCAGAAACTCATTAGGATTGGCTACAGTAGGCAAAGGAGTCCCTGCTACAAAAAAAAGCCCTGGGTTTTGACAACAAACAAGGTAAACAGAATAAGAAGCAAAAGGTGGGTGTGGCTGGTTGCCCACACTTCTGGCAACACAGGGCTGCGGCCTAATATGCTAATGAGCTGTGGTGTCAGGGTGTGGCCTGATATGCTAATGAGTTTCAACTGTTGGGTGTGGCCTATTATGCTAATGAGTTCCTGCTGGGCCTTTTCTACAAAAAAAAGCCCTGTGTAGGGCTATCTTTCAGCTATGCTCCTGCAGAGTGCAGGGGGTTGGACTAGATGACCTGCAAGGTCCCTTCCAACTCTAACATTTTATGAATCTATGAATAAAGAGTGCTTGGGTTCAACAAGCTTGAGAACACTTTTCAAAGTGAAGACCAAGTACTAGGAAGACTGTTTCCATGTTTTGTGTCTTTGATACATGCTCCTGAAATTAAAAATAAAAGGTAAGTGGGGGGGGGGTTCATTTGGCTCCAAACTTCTGGCTTTTCCCATAATCTTTTTTTTTTTAGAGCAACACACTGGAAATAAAAAATAAAAAGTTCTGTCATCCTCTGAAATCACAGCACATTTCTGGTCCAGAAAAAGTTCTGTTTTCTTATGGCATTGTTCTGTGTGGTCCTTGGGGTCACAGAGTGCAGACTGTAGAGGCTGAGTGTGGGGAATGCAGAATAAAACCTAGATCTGAATCATTTTACATAAAGCAGCCAATTTGTTCAGTGCAAATGCACACTTCCCTCATTGGCTTCTGGGAATAGCTCATGGTCCAAAGGTGGCTCTGTTCCAGTGAAAGGAAGCCAAGATGGGGTGCAGGGAAGGAGGAAACAGCAGCACTTTATATTCACATGGAATTGAGAAGCACTTGGAGATTTTTTGATGACCAGCAAGTACACCAAGGAAGAGGTCTCCCACGTATTTCTGACAGGTACCTGGGGCATTTATGTAACCTTTGACTTATTTTAGTGCATACAGTTCTTAACAAAGTAATTCCCTCCTTTAAAAAAAAAAAGTCTCTATACTACATTAGGAAATGGTGCCCTACAAGAGCTAGTCAAGTTGCCCAGGAGAAGTTTAGTTCTTGCCTTGAAAAGGGTGTGAAGATGGCATATATGTTACTGATTACTCTATGGCATCAACAAAAATACTGAAGAAGGTGGAAGAAATTTTTTTTTAATCTCTTGTGCATTAATTCAACTTGCCTGAAGTTTTATCAGCTTTTTTCTGGTGCACCATAAAGAACTTCTGGCGGGCTGAAAAGGCCTGGGAGGAGGTGGGAGTTCAGACAAGCCAAGGAAACCATGTAGGAAGGTAAAAACTGAAGCTGGGGAAACTGTAGGCAAAAAATGAAAGCGGAGCAAACAGGAGGACTATTAGGCAGCACACTGCTCTGTCAGCCTACTATCGGTTACTGCTCTCTTTCTTTCGTATTCCTTGTTCTCACAGGGTGTGCTGATCAAAATAACTGAACATTATTTGCCCAGGCTATTCATACTACTGCTTCTTCCTTCTCTCTCTCCCCATCCCCCCATCCTCTGTTCACTTACACTTTCCCATATGGTGACTTTGGAAAATTCCTCTCCACATAGGAAAGGACAGGAAATTCTCTTTGGGAGAGAGAGGGCTGCCTATTTCTCGCTCTCTCCCCCCCCCCTTCTAGTTCTGCTGATCACATCTGGAAAGGATCTGACTTGGGAAAGTGTTTGGTGCTTGGAGTGTGTAATTGACATGGCATGAGCCAAGGGAACTTTGTTGGGGGGTGGGGGACAAGGGAAACATTTTTCTCCAGATATTTTCATCTCTATCATCTAAGCAGAGGTGAGTTTGTTTTCAGCAGTTTTTTATTCTCTAATAGAACGATAGTTGGAGGACAGTGAACAGCTGCTTTGATCTTAGCTGTGACAGTTTGAAAATTCATTATGCACACATAAAAATGCATAACCTGCTTATACTGCACATAAATAATAGACTCTGTTTTACTGTCCTGAAATACAAAATGCTGTAGGCATTGGAATAATTAACTATAGCCTGTACATGTCTAATTGTCTTTACTGGATCAATACTTTTCTAGCAATTCTTGATGACTCCAGATTCTGCTAAGCAGAGCACTGAAATGTTCTCTTGGGGCTGGGGATTCAGTGCTTAACAGAGGCTAGTGCTTTGGACACCAAAATTTTTTAAAAAACCAGAATATGGTTGCTACTTAAACAGGAGAAATCTTTTATACCTGTCTCCAGCTTGGTTGGGTGTCTCAGGATCACAGCCAAAAAGCAGTGGGGTCTTTGCATAGACTTGAGGTGAGGACAAAGTGAGATAACAGTCTTTGGAGGCGGCATTTTATGTGAGAGCTAGGATTTTTTTTAAAACCCCAAACTTAAGATCTTATTTGAACTGAGAATGAAATAAAAAACTTCTGCCTGCTTGGTTTAAGCAAGCAGATGTTTCTGAATCCTAACGTGTGGCACCAGAGTACAATTCAAAGACTCTGAAGCAGGGAAAGGGAAGGCAAATGTCAGTACCATATGAGTCGTCTTAGCAAAAAAATTGAACAGGCAAAACTCAGAACAAAAAACGACTCCCATGTTAATCTTCACTTCAGTTGTACAATTTGTATTACAACAAATTATATTTACTGTCACTGGAGATTATTCTATTTTGTTGTGTCTTTATCAGACAGTTAGAAATATCAACATTTAGAACTTTATGCTATTCATTTACAAAAAGAAATAGCATCCATGCTCCACTACAGATATGCTGCAGTCCTTGGAAGGGAATTCACTCAAAGTCTGATGATAGATGTTGGACTATAGACAACAAACAGCTTCAATGTGGTTTTCGAAGCTGGAGCCAGCCAAAAACCTTGTATTGCTCTTTGGGGAAAACTCTTGTGATGTGGAGCAGTGTTAGCTTCAAGAGCCTTGAGTTAACTGCCTTGCTCTGCCACATGCTGGCGGAATCTGCATTTGTCTTTCCCACCAGTGTCCCAGCCTTTTGACATTAACATTTGAACAAAAATCTATTTAAAATATAGAATTGTACTCATATCCCACTATGAAGTATGCTAATTTCTATGGGAAAGTCTTCCCATAGAAGTATATTCAGAGTACCAGCCTAATAGATTTCATTTCCACTAAGTGTTTGCTGAGTGATATTGGGTCAGTCATTCTCCCAGTTAAATAAATGCATGAACCCATAAATGCATGAACACTCGTTTGAAAATATGCCTTTCCTTCAGTGCCACAACGATCGATCTCACAGTCACATAGCCTCTGTCAGCATATAGCTGACTGCTAGTAAGATTGGTTTTTGCTTTCCTTACAAAGGTTTGTTGACATCTGTATATTTTTATTATTTTAACTGAATTCTGTGGCCTATGGACATGTCTTTAAGCTGCATTGGGCCACATAGGAAAGGTGGGCCATACATATTTCACTTAATAAATGATGGTGCAGAAGAAGACACTGTCTGCCATATCGCAGTGCTGCAAAGTTAGGAAAAGCTACATCTGCCAAAATTCCTTTCTATAAAACGACTAGAGAAGTAGAGTCCTGTTTTGCATCTGGTTACCTGTTTCTTCATTGGTGGTAAACCTTCATCTGAAAAGTTAAAGCTATTTAAAGCCCGAGAGCAAAGGAGGCCTGCTTTTAATTAAGAAAACAAAACCTTCTATGTTAATGTTGTATTATTGTGGAGGTAGTGCGAGCTTTTACAGTCAGAAAGCTTGTGATCCCCAGCTCATGTTTTCCCCCCCTTGATTTCAGTGGAAATGTACCCAAAGTTCATCATCCTGTTTCCTGTGTTGTGGCTGTTGGCACTTGGCTCTAGCAGGATTCAAGATCAGAAGGGTGAAGACAGCAATGATTTTCCAGAAAACTCATCTGAAATGCTCAACCCAGAACACAACTCCTTGGCTCCAGATTGCCCTAAAAAATGTAGCTGCCTTCAGGAAGGAATTGTGGATTGTGGAGGGTTTTCTCTGAAAGAATTTCCCATTGATATACCAGAACAGACCAGCCACCTTTCCTTGCAGGTAAAGTAAAACAAAACATGGATGACAAATTAGTTGTGGGAGTCCACTGTTGCCTAGTAGCAGCCTAGTGATTTAGTGATTTTTGTACAATGCATAGTCTATGGCAGGCTTATCAAGATTGCTTAAGAGGAAAGCATTATATAAAATGTTCATAATTGACGATTTCTTTGTGGAAGAAAAAGGGGGCAGTGTTCTATACAAGATGTGCAGTTCTAAATTAGATATATGAAGGTTTGAATCAGTAGTAAGGTTGCTAGGTCCCCTTGGTCTGCTGGTGGTAGGGATTTGGGGGTTGTTCTAGGGCCAGCTAGCCAGCAGCAAACAGAAGCCCCCCAAAAGGGGGGAATCCCCACCTGGAATGGGGGGGTCTGGCAACCCTAGTCCAAGAAAGAAGAAGATACATAGAGAGCTGATGTACCTTGGCACCACACATATAATGTATGCTACTGTGACCCTTTAAGTGTCTCAGCTTATATTCTGGTCCTGGGGATCCTGTTGACATTGTCCCTCGAGGTGTTAAATTTCAGCTTCTAAAAGTTATCTCTTAGAATTAACTTTAGGAAAGACCTGTGGCGGGTCTGGTGGTCCGCTGCCAACTGGCCTCCTGTCGCCGTCCCGCTCAACAGCGCTAGCCTGCTCCTGTGTTCTTCCTGGCCTGGGATCTGACAGGTGGCCACTTTGTGGTTTCGGCAGCAAGTTCAAATGCCTCCAGGAAGGCCTCCACATCATCTCAGGGCCCATTTTAGTTAGCGGCGGCCACGGGCTCTGGTGCTCCACTGCTGACTGGCCTCCCATCGCCATCCTGCTCAACAGTGCTAGCCTGCTCCTGCGTTCTTCCTGGCCCAGTATTGGGCCTCTTGCCCTGGAGGTGACACTGTGAGGGCCGAGGTCAGGATTAAAGCAGAAGAGGGAGGGTAGGCCTCAGACTACGGGGCTGATTGGGGGGTTGCATCACCCCTCCGCCCCTTTAGGAAATCTGGCTTCTTTGTGACTTCCTCCTGCTGTTAGGGCTCTCTCTCTCTCTCTCTCTCTCTCTCTCTCTCTCTCTCTCTCTCTCTCTCTCTCTCCTGCCTGTCTCTTCCTCCCCCGCTCTCTCTCTCTCTCTTCGTATAGCCCCAGCCAGTCCCATCCTTCCTCCCCAGCCGGCTCTCCTCTTCCCTTTTTATCCCCTCCTCGCTCCCTCTCTGTTGGCCCTGCCCCGCTCAAAACCAGGGACGCCGAAGCCGCCCTTTCTGTCCCCGCCCTCCTGATGCCTGCCCAGTGCGCCTATTGTGCTACACTGTGCTTCTGCCCCAGCCACGGCCCGTTCTCGGCCTGACCTGACCTTCCCCCATGGCCCCACCTTGGCTGGCAGCAAGCCCGTCCTGCGGCCCCGCCACCCCGCTGCCATGTCTCACTCCATTCCTCTGGAGTTGAGCGCGGGCCCTCATTGCTCCTTGTGGGGACCGGATCTGCCTCTCGTCTTACCACCATGCTGCCTCCTTCCCCTTGCGGTCCCGGCCATTCTTCATTAAGTTGGGGGCTGGGAGGATGCCCCTGTTCTGTTGCCCCTTCCTCTGTGGCCACCTTTTTCCTGAGCTCCCGGTTGGGACCAAGACAGACCCTGCAGGAATATACTTAGTTGCTCCTTTCCCTTTTGGCTTAGTGATTTACTCAATAAAATCATGTGTTGATTGAGAGCACTGCTCAGTTAACATGCAAGCAGCCCCATTGCAGGCACACCAGCATCAAAAACCACCCATCCATACAGTTCTAAATTTTCCTTAGGAAACACCCTGTGTAAAGAGCAGTGCAAGCTAAGATACTTTTGCTTTATTGTACTGTTCATATCAAAAGTGAATGGTGATAAATCTAGAGACAGAAATCTGTATTTTTACAAAATTTTTCTAAGTTTAGAATCTAAAACTCTTTCAAGTCCATTATGACCTGGATCCAAAGAACTACTCAACCACTGTATGTGTCTAAGGGCCAAACTAGATGAGATGTTTTACACAAATTCCCAGCCAGTTTGGTGTAGTGGTTAAGTGCGCGGACTCTAATCTGGGAGAACCGGGTTTGATTCCCTACTCCTCCACTTGCACCTGCTGGATGGCCTTGGGCAAGCCATAAGTCTGGCACAGCTGTTCTTGAAAAAGAGCAGTTTCTGTTAGAGCTCTCTCACCCTCACCTACCTCACAGGGTGTCTGTTGTGGGGAGGGGAAGGGAAAGGAGTTTGTAAGCCGTTCTGAGACACCTTTGGGTAGTGAAGGGCGGGGTATCAATCTAATCTCTTCTTCGTATTTTAGCCATGAGTCCCAAGGGGCAATTTACATGTAAAAGTGCTGTAGGGCCCAATTTGAATCAGGACTGGAGCACAGGGGGATTATGGGCCTCTCACCATCACCACCACCACTTTCTGGAGTCAAATAGCCTGGGGATTATTTGCCCCATCAGGCAGCTGCATGTACAATGAATACTTCCATGTGCAGGCCTCTAATAGAGCAAATAACAGTTGAGAGAATGGCAGAGGGGAAATCCCTCTTCCTCTGTGCTGCAGTCCTGACCTGAATTGGCCACCTGCGGTGCTACTAAACACAGGGAAATTGCAGCTGGTTTATGGCTGCAAGCTTCCATAGTGACCATGTCACAAAACATCACTAGTTTGACCCTAAGGGACACAAAGATAATGCCCCTTCTATGGCAAAACTCTCAATTTGTGATAGGACATGGGTGATTGCTATTTGAAAGGGGTGGACAATGTACAAAGTTCTACTGGGCCTATCCAGCATTTGAGTGCATTTACAGTAGCTCTTTTGATCCCAGCCCATGTGGCCTTGCCTAATCCTGACTTGGGTTCTCTATTTATTGCAGTACAAGCAAAGGCTTTTGCCCCCAAAGCAGCTGTTGCAGCATCCTATACAAGATCAGTAGGGCAGGAAACTGAACACTGTGCCCTACAAGCTCACTCAAGAGATAAGCATTCTTGTCATTCAGAGCAAGGTGAAGATTCTTGGAAGTGCCTTTCTGTTTTAACTGGGAGTCTTAAAGGCTTTAGCTGCTGATCAATCTTCTCTCTTCCTCCAGAACAATCAGATAGAAGAAATTTTCCCAGAAGAACTTGCACGTCTTTACGGCCTTGAAACTCTCAACTTACAAAACAACAGGCTCACTTCCAAAGGTAAGCTGGGGAACTCCAGGATAACATCGGAGTGCAGATAAAAGCTGACAAGGATGAGCTTATTATAGGCAAAAGCATATGGACATTCAGCACATGGGGAGGGGGAAGCAGGGTTGCATATACCGCTCCTGACCTACCCACGTTGATTTGAAGGTTAGAATAAATCCTACATCTGTGCAGGGATCCTGTTTTCACAGAGAGAGCTCTGTGCACTAGGAAAGAGAAGATGCTCCCCCAATTCCACTCTTTTATAGTTATGCTCAGGGCTTTTTTTGTAGAAAAAGCCCAGCAGGAACTCATTAGCATAATAGGCCACACCCAACAGCTGAAACTTATTAGCATATTAGGCCACACCCCGACACCACAGCTCATTAGCATATTAGGCTGCAGCCCCGTGTTGCCTGAAGGGTGGTCATCCAGCCACACCCACCTTTTGCTTCTTATTCTGTTTACCTTGTTTGTTGTCAAAACCCAGGGCCTTTTTTTTGTAGCAGGGACTCCTTTGCATGTTAGGCCACACACACCTACTGTAGCCAATCCTAATGAGTTTCTGCTGTTGGGTGTGGCCTATTTTGCTAATGAGTTCCTGCTGGGTGTGGCCAACTCAGGAGCCAGCCGGAACTCCGTTCCTGTGCGTTCCTGCCCCAAAATAGCCCTGGTTATGCTGATTCACTCTGCCCTGAATTCTGTTAATGAAGAGGATATTTAAAACTAATTTTGGAATTTAAAAATGCCATTTACAGCAATGTGCTCCTGTGCTGTAGGAAACATTACACAAAATCATATCAAGATTTTTTCAAGGTTTTTAATCCATGCTCACATGCATATTGATAATGTGTGTGTGGAGGTACAACAAAGGAACAGAAGGAGATGAACTCTGGAGCAAACCATGCAAGCACAACATTCTGTTGAAAAACCTGCAAACTGGAAACAAAACAAAGGACAATTCCAAATATATCAGTTCCACTCTGGGAAAAGAAGAGGTTATCTGAAATTCCCAAATATGAGAATTTGGATGAAAGGAATTCCAGGCACTTCCCTACAAAGAAGGAAATAAAAGGGCCGCACCAGACACAAGAGATAATTAGTGATCCAGACGTTAGTGAGACCAGATCAGCTGTTTTATTTCCTCTCTCAGCTGATGCTGGCCAATCAGAAAGTGAGTAGAGCAGCCAATCACATAAGCTCTTTTTTCCAGGGAAGATTAACTCACAACCTCCCTGGCTCTCTCTACCAAGCAGCATTTTAAAAAGTCTGCTTTTCTTTGCAATCCATCACAGAACGCTTTTGGAGCTCACTAATGGAAGACAAGGGGAAATGTACACAAAAATACACATCAGCATTTTTTGCTGATGAAACAATATTGATCTTTTTGCAAACAATATTACTCTCTCCCCATGTCTTCAAACACCATGAAGTTCCACTGAAGCACTACCTGGATTGGTTTCCTTTGGAAAAGACAGCATTGGAGTCTTATGGCATTTTTGTAATATTTATTTTCAAACATACTAGCAGAGCACTGATGTAAATAAGCACTTCTCCAGGACAGCAGACTCACATATCAGATCCTCTGTGGGAAAGATCCTAGGCTACAACTGAATAATCCATTCTTATTAAAGTTCATAATGGAATTATTAAAAATACTTTCTATGAGCAGTCCAGCAATGGGATTAACCACCTATGGAGGCTATGGGATCATCTTCCTTGCAGTTTTCTGAAAGAATACTGGATGCTTTAAGACAATATAGACTATTACACCTTGGAACAGGGTGTTCCATGCAGTGAGCCATTGTCTTCCCTTTCAGCTACCATTTACATTGTCCAGCTTCTACAATATATACAATAAGAAAATAACAATGTAATTTGATAGCCTCTTTAGCTTGCTCAAAGGAAGATTTATTTTAAAATTATAGTTCCCTGATCTTTATATTGTATGTTTTTTTGGACCAGTCACATACTTTCAGCCTAACCAACCTCACAGGGTTGCTGTGCAGATAAAAAGGAGGCCAGAATAATGTAAGCTGCTTTGGTTTGGTATGGAGAAAGACTATAATTTTCCAAGGTAGAGGCTGTGGGGGACGGGGGTGGAGACAGAAAACTGAAGACAGATAAAGGCAGATAAAGGTATGTTGGCTGTTGAGTGGGAAGGAAATAGGGTTGCCAACTTCAGGTTCCTGGACATTTGAGGGGTGGAGCCTGAGGAGGGTGGGGTTTGAGGAGGGGAGGAACTTCAGACCGGTATAATGCCATAGACTCCACCCTCCAAACCAGCCATTTCCTCCATGAGAATTACCATTGCCAGCCTCCAGGTGAGGGCTGGAGATCACCCAGAATTACAACTGTTGTCCAGGTGAAAGAGATCAGTTCCCCTGAATAAAAGGGCTGCTTTGGAGGGTTGAGTCTATGGCATTATGCCCTACTGAGGCTGCTTGCCTCCCCAAGCGTCACTGTCCCAAGGCTCCACCCCCAGATCTCCAGGAATTACCCAACCTGGAGCCAGCAGCCCTAAGGTAAATTGATCTCTGTACCTGGGAGATTCGCTATGATTCCAAGAGTGCTTCCAGTGCTGCTATGAGGAGAGAGGAAGCAGGTGGGTGGCTGGGAGTACCACCACCACTGCTGTTGCTGCTGTGTGAGGGGTGGGGGAGGAAGCAGGCTGGGAGAGTGATGGGGGCAGAAAGAGAGAGTGATGGGATGGGGGTCAAAAACAGAGAGAAAGAGTGATGAGGTGGGGAGGCAGAAAAAAACAGAATAATGATGGGTCAGAAAGAGAGAGGAAGTAACATGCATGGAGAAGAGATAAAGAGTAAGGAAGGGGGGGGCAGAAGGGAGAAAGAGAGTGAGACAGGGAGGGTGAGAGGGGAGGAAGCCAAGGTGTGAGGAATGACTCGCAGGGCTCTTTTTGTAGCAGGAACTCCTTTGCATATTAGGCCACACACCCCTAATGTAGCCAATCCTCCAAGAGCTTACAGAGCTCTTCTTACAGGAGCTACTGTAAGCTCTTGGAGGATTGGCTACATTAGGGTGTGTGTCGCTTAATATGCAAATAAGTACCTGCTACAAAAAGAGCCCTGCGTGAATCTCACAAGTTTCTTGTGGGTCTCAACTTGTACCACTCCTAATAAGGCATGATGGTTGGGATCCAAAGATTCTATACAACTAGTTCTGCATGCCAAAACAGGGCTTTGGGCTTGTGTTCATCAAATAGCACCCCCAAGCCACTTGTAGGGCTGCCAGCTTCCAGGTGGAAACTGGAAATCTCTTGAAATTTAACTTAATCCCCAGGCTAAAGAGATGAGTTTCCCTGGAGACAATGGCTGCTTTGGAGTGTGGACTCTATAGCAGTATACTTGGCTGAAGTCCCTCCCCTCTCCAAATCCTACCCTCCAGAGGCTCCACTCCCAAATCTCCAGGAATTTTCTGACCTGGAGTTGACAATCCTTAGATGGCAAACCACTTCTGAAACCAGGGAAACCTGAAAAAGCAGTTTAAGGACTAGCACTGGGGTCTGCTGTTCTTCATCATCATCAACAACAAGTATAAAATATCCCACTGAGCCTACTCAAGCTCCTCTGGCCTGCTTAAGTAGTTCTCTGAACTCCAACTTTTGTGAGGAAAATAAAATACAATCTGATATTTTAGTTAGCTAGTTTAAAATATTTCTACCCTTTTACTCAATATTTCCTTGAACTCAATGCAATATGAAGTTTCAAGGACACAAAATGTAAGAGTCTGTTACAAAATAAAAACACAGAGGTGTTTTTGAGGGAAAAATCCTTCAGGAGGTAAAAGCCCCTCCTTGCTGACTGTTCCTATGAGCTTCTGATTGTCAAAATTTTCCTGTTATTTTTAGGACTTCCAGAGGAAGCATTTGAACAACTGGAAAATCTGAATTATTTGTACCTTGCAAATAATCAGGTAAGGACATTGGATAGATGTAAGAACTGCTGCATAAATGTGTTTATATAGGTACTTGAAACACTTCATAAGTATCCCCAGGACAGAGTGTGGGTTCAGAAGGGCTTATAGTGCTGTGGCTGAGGAAAAAAATTGGTGCAAGGATCACTGCAGGCTACACTTAGAAGCTTTACAGTGCTGCATAATGAAAACTATTGAAGGAAACAGATTTAACAGGGTACGTGGTACAATTTTCTCCTTTGAAAAGATTAAAGAGGAGAGAAAAAGCAGAATTAAACAGTATAATTTCATACACATATTCAGTTTTGCACAAATGAAAACTATATACTTTTGCACACATTTGTATTCACAATAGTAGGAAGCAGCCAACTTCTGAGTGCCAAACTCTTTTGGCTTATGAAGGTTTAGCAAGCTGCATTATTAAACAAGTTTCCCACTATGAGCTCAGAAATAAGCATCCCAGAATTGTTGCAGTTTTGTGGGTATCCAGTACAAAACTGTCCTGTTGCATTTATATACAAAAATCAAAGGTGTTGCCTTACCTGACAGGAATGTGGAAGCCTATTTGCATGGGATCTACCAGGTATATTACAATAACTGTCAGAGTGGCAGGAGGTCAGATCATGTGATATGTTGTGCTCACCCTTGGAAAAGTGGTGTCTTAGTATAGTGACTGAATTACCAGTTATTTTATGTGGACTGTTGCCTGGATCATAAAGTTTTGTTGCACATGAGCACAGAGCTAATTGTCATGAGTCATCTAGGACTCGGCAATAGTGAGGACTCCTCAGGAGAAGAGGAGCCCCGTGTAGCCAACCATGAGTTAACAGAAGCTGACCAGCAGGAAAATGAGCAGGATTCACAGCCAGCAGCTGGTACAGAGCCACTGACACCCTCCAGCCATGATTCAGCAGGTGAACCTCAGTTGGCCGTTCCCAGCCCACCAGTGTCTCCTACACCCTTAGAATACTGCAGACGGAGGCTGAGAACAGAGCTACAGACAAGACAGCAAAGTGCACGCCTCCTGGCCCAATGGCAGCTGCTTGCTGATGACAAAGATGAGTAGTTGCAGGATTGCTTCTGAGCAGCTGGCTGCAAGTATAACCCTTAGGCATGGGGCTATAGAAACCAGCCAAGAGAGTCTGCCTAGCATGACTTCTGGATCTTGGACTGAATGACTCTGCCTTGCCTGACTTCTAAACCCTTGATCTTGGACTGAAGGGCTTTGCCTTGCCTGACTTCTGGACCCCTGACCTTGAACTGAACAACTCTGCCTTGCCTGACTTCTGGACCCCTGACCTTGGACTGAATGACCCTGACCCTTTTCTGCCTGACTTCTGGCACTAATACATATCCAATCCATCCCACAATGATCACAATGTAAATGTGTTGCCAAAGATATCCTAAATGTCAGGTTTGGGAAAAGTAAGTCCACCAGCACAAAAAGTGGCATTTTAAGGAAAGACCTAACCATACCTGTTCAGAGACCAGGATTTACAGATCAGTACAGCAGTCTTGGAACAAAGCTATAAAACTTCGTGTAAATTCTAAGTCAAATTCTTTTCTCTACAGCTCCTACTGTACCAGAATAACTTACTATTGAGGATCTCTGGGTCCCTTGATGAAAGGGAAATTGCCATAACTCCATTGTCTATACAAATGAAATTACTCTATTGTGGCTGAACTGCAGTATCAAACTGCTTCTCCAGTAACATCATGTCCTTCCCTTCCCTTTACAGCTATTTTCCATGTAACAGTTTTGGCAAAGAACAGCTCCATAAAAGTAGAACACAAGCCAGATTGTGACTAATATTCCAAAAGTTTTCTGTCCAATTTCCCCCCTTATGCGGTAAAATAGTTTTTGACCTTTCTTCCTGAGACTGCAGCAGAAGAAAATTGCATCTAGATAATAGGAGCAAACTTCAGTAGATGTTCTACTGAGACATTAAAGATATGCAAAAATAGCTTGTTGCTTTGACTACTGAGTACCAGGACAAGACAGATTGAGTGCTCACACTACATCATGCACACTGCAAAGGGGGATGCTATAGCGAAGACCTGCATGCCTTTTCTTCAGTAGGAAGGAAGGGCTAAGATGGAGATATTGAGCTATCATAGGTGCATCATTAGCTGCCTGGCAGCATTGCATTTGTTCACAATCTTGGCTATTTTCATTGAAAGGAATATCAATGATTTGTAAATAAATAAAGTAATCTGTGCCCATGCAAAAACAATATCTCACTGGTATAACATGATTGTGCACAAGTTTACAAATTCTCACAAATATTATAATGCAAAGACTAGGGAATTTTCAAAGAACAACTTTTGGAATGTCAATTTTATAAACGCTGAAAGTCATTAAAACAGTTGTGTCTTTCTTACTTTTAGAATGTCCTTGTCAAAGTCAATATTTCATAGCTTTTTTCCTCTAAAAAACTGAAACTAGTATTATTCAGAATTAGGAATCTTGTAAATAAAACACACTAGTAGATCATACATTTACATTTTGCTATGCAGATTCATATTTGAAGCATCTTCTCTATGGGCAGGTGGACATAAGAAGAGCCTTGCTGGATCAGACCAGTGGTCCATCTGGTCCAGCATATCCTGTTCTGCACAGCGGCCAGTCAGTTGCCCTGCAGAGCCAACAAATGGCAGATAGGCCAAAGCCTTCCCCTGATGCTGCCCCCTCAGACTGGTATTTAGAGGTTTACTGCCTTTGAAGGTGGCGGTGCCAAGATCGTGTCATTTCTGTGCTTTGCGTGCTGCTTAGCGTACAGTTGGTGTTAAACATTGAATAGTAATAGTACTAACTTCCGTTACTTTCCACAAGCCCTCAGATGAGGATACTCTTCATAAAGTGCATGCATAGCTTTAAAAAGCTGCCTGAGAAACAGCGTTCAGAAATGTTGTGGCTTATTTCTATTGTTATCTGTTCTGCCAGAGGTTTTAGCATTAGAGGGCAGAGTCATGTGCTCTTACTTTCTCAAGGGACTATCCTAAGAGGGGCAGTGACCTATTTCTGAAAGAGATTATAAACATTGCATGAAATGTTCTTGCTCTCTGAATCCACTTTTTCCATTATTAATAAAACAACAACATTTCTAATCCAAACAAAAGTTCTTTTAGGCATATTGCAGGAAAAGATAAACTGTTTCCTGTAGTGATCATTTATGTCACTGACAACAGAGATTCTCTTTTCTGTGAGGGTGATAATTTGATACTGTGCCATTTTCCATATCTTTTTGGGAACAAACAGCCTGATAACTGTCTGTTGTAAAGGTAAGAGTGATGGTGGCTGAAGCTTTCTGTCTCATAGAGTGATATAACTTTGGCCTTATATTTGTTTTTTCAGCTCACGGTGGCTCCAAAATTTCTCCCAAGTACCTTGATCAGTGCAGACTTTGCTGCCAATAATCTCACTAAGATTTATGAGCTCACATTTGGACAGAAGCCAAACTTGAGGTAAATAAGTTAAGAGGAAAGGGAAAGGAAGTAGAAGGGGGGAAGGGGTTGTTTAGGTTTTAAAAAGCTATTTGTGGACTACAAATAATGCTTGGAAGAGAAGAGAATTATTTATCATAGAAGGGATTCAAGCCAATCATATATAAATGCATTATGTTGGTTTCTGTTGGAGGACAGTAGCAGTGGAGCATCCACACAGAAGTTAGCACTGCACTTTCCTTGCCTCAGTCCCCCTCCAGCCACCATTTTGTTCCTCTCCACCAGATGGCCCTGTGTATAAAAACTGGGTATTTCTAGATCACAATAGAGTTAACACATTGTAATGATTTATTGCAAAGGTATACTTTCCCCCTTACAACTATGCGTTCCTTTTTTTTAAAAAATGAAAGCTTGGACCTGCTACTCAGTGACTACTGTTAGTTCAAAATGCAGCCACCTGTTTGTTGACTTCCAGGTTCTATGCAAGATGCTGATTATTATTATGGTTAAAGCACTTTCTGACCTATGGTCAACATACCTGAAGAATCACCTTTCCTGGTATGAGCCTGGGCATTCCCTTTGGTCTGCCCAACATGCCTTGCTGAATGTTCCTTTCTCTTGCCTTGCTTGTTTGACCTCTACAATAAATTGGGCTTTTTCTGTATTCATAAATGTATGAAATTGCCTTTCCCATCAGACCATCTAGCTCACTATTGTTTGCTTTGATTGACAGCAGATCTTCAGGGTCTCAGGCAAAAAATGTTCTTTCCCCTGAAATCCTTCAGTGACATTCCATTGGTGTCTATGAAACTCACTGGCAATAAGTGTGACTGGGACTACAGCCAAAAGTCTCATCCCAATTTACGCAGAAGTAAATCCTATATATATAAATAGGGTAACTTCCAAACTAGAGCACATATTGTTGCAGCCTTAGATATTTCCCAGTGACATGTAGTAATATTCACAGTAAGAGTTTCTCTGCACATGCAGTGCATAACACAAACTGCATAACTCAATATGACTATTCTTGTCCATAACCAGAGCCAGTTAACCGAACCCCAAACAGTGCTGTCACAGTTTGCTTGCCAACAGTAGCTATATGGCTGTTCCAAACCCAATCAATTGGGCCATATGGTAGCCAATGCTCCCTCTAAGTTGTGGAGTCCTGTGAGAATTTTTTTTTACTTTGTGAGCTACTGCTTTAAAGTTGTGAGTGAGCGATTTGGCTATTGCATACATTAGTTTGCTCTGGAGCCATCCTTCCTGAGCGAAGAGAAAAATGTGTGAGCCAGAGGCTAAAAAACTGTGAGCTAGCTCACACTAACTCGGCTTAGAGGGAACACTGATGGCAGCCCTACATACTCATTTTCTGGCTGAGAGCTGCCCTCCAGCACCAAGAAACCCTCTCAATAGCCCAGTATAAAGGAAGTGGTAGGAGCAGTGTTCCCTCTAAGCTGAGTTAGTGTAAATTAGCTCACAGTTTTTTAGCTTCCGGCTCACACATTTTTTGTCTCGGGAAGGATGGCTTCAGAGCAAACTAATTTATGCAGTAGCCAAATTGCTTGCTCACAGCTTTAATGCCTGTAGCTCACAAAGTAAAATTTTTGCTCACAAGACTCCACAGCTTAGAGAGAGCACTGGGTAGGAGATGACCAAAGATTTCTTGTTTGCTGCATTTTTTTCCCTGAGAGCTGCCTGCAGATGCACAAAAATTACCCGAAAGGCCAGACATGGTATAGTCCTGTCCATATAATTGCCATTGTGGAGAAATGTCCTCCACCATAGAATTCACCTTAAGATTTCAGTTATTGTAACTGCTCTCTGGCCATAGACAGGAGCCCAGCTGCAGACTACTTGCTGGCAAAAGGGGCTGGGGTGGAGAAAGGAACGATCAAGCTTCCAGCACAGAGCACCCAAGCTCTTAGTTATGCTAATGGCAGTGGCTGAAGCAAGACAGTGGCTTATGACCCCCCACTCTACTGCCAGGGTACATCCAAAAGGGACACAGACAGCTAATAAACACTCTTCATCTATGGTAATTTTCAAACTGTATAATATCGACAAACTGTATGAAATGTATGAAGCCATTGAAAGCTATGCTCATGCTTATCTTGTAAATCATTGCTGTTTATCAAAAAGAATAAAAATTATCTGTTTAAAAAAAAAGAGAAAAGTGGCTAGAAACTAAACTCTTCCTTTTGGGGCAGGAAGATCCAAATGACCCCCAGGTGAGATGGACTCCCTAGAATAGGTTATAAATTCTCAGTAAATGAGGAAGAGCCCTCTCTTGCTTTTACTGTCTTCCATGGCTTCAGATCAGGGAAAACACTTTTACCTAGAGGCTCCATCATGTCCATACAGCAGTGGACAATGGAGAAAAATTCCAACCAGGAGATCTAAGGTAATTATGAACTTTAAACGAGTGCATCTTCAAGTAAAGCTAGCCTGTCCTATTTAAACATCCTTAGGATAAGAACTGAGTGTAAGGTAGGGAGAGGGGACTGCATATTTTCTCATTTTCTTTGTTCCTTTGCTCATCTTCAAATGCATGAAAGGAACGTGTAATATTTTTATTCCTTTATTAAATCCTTATATTTCAAATGCTCTTTTATTTCAAATCTTTGGAAAAACACACCACACCTCTTTAGTCTTGCTGTCTGAAGAGTGGTAAAGGGGAAGAGCAGCAGAGAAGCTCACCATTCCTTCAGCACAATAGCTCTAAATTGTGAAACTGTGATAGGTCACCCTGTGCTTGCTTGTAGGAGTGTAGCAGGAGGTGTGCAGTAACTAGGTGGAGCCCTAAACCACAGGTACAGGGTGCTAAACAAATCACTGTCTGGCAGGAGGTACTCTGAGACATTGGTGGCAACCGTTACCCTATTTGTTTTAGGCTCCCTCAGGGAGCAAGGGGAAGGGGGTGGAATCACCAGTGGAGACTTGAGATGACCACAGGGCTTCTCCAACCTTCCTGGGCCAATTTTCATTCCCACTGAGGGGTGGAGTCTCTGAATCATGCCCAGCTGCTAATATAAGGACTCATAGATCCCTGACAAAGAGGTTTAGAGTTAATTGTTAGGAAAACTTTCTGGAATAAAACAGAGCAGTTCAGTTTGTACTAATCCCAAATATACTTGTTTTTTTTTAATATAGGTCAGTGTACCTCCATAACAACAAACTTGAAGATTCTGGGTTACCAGAAAGCATGTTCAATGGGTCTAGCAATGTGGAAGTATTGATTATGTCTAGCAATTTCTTAAAATATGTTCCAAAGAATCTACCACGAGCACTATATAAGCTACACCTAAAGGTATGAGTACTGATTCTATGTCTTTGGGGGGGTGGGAGTGGGATTGTATATCTCTACATGTCAGAACCTTATGCTTTTTTAGAGCTGAATATTTGGATTAATTATTATTATAATTCAAAAGCACCCAGGAATGCATACAAATATTAATATGACAAATATAATTCATAAAAACAATTAACTCCACTAATTCTGAGAGATTCCAATAACAACATCAACAGCTATATCATCACTAGGCTATGAAATCAGTAGAGGATGAACAAATCTAGACAATGCTTCTGCCACCACAAGCCTTTTGGGGGTCATTACTTGCTGGTAGAATGTGTCAAGGAGCATCTCCTTTGTAAAATAGTATTTTGCCATTCTACACACTTGTGTGTGTAGAATGGCAAAAGACCATTCAGTCTCACATTTTGTTATGCAACATGGCTAAAACTGGCACAGGATTTCTATTGGCTATCTGTTCAGAATAGCTGAGAATATCATGTCAAAAGATCTGCTAATAAGCCTTCTTTAGTAAGGGGGAAAACATGTGAGATGCTGCTCTTGCAAGTGAGAGTACATGTAAGGCTAGCTCCAAAACAAGAAAAAAAATTAAGCCTTCCTTTAGAGCAGAGTTCCTTGAAATGACACCCAACAGTACTTACTTCCCTTGGTACTTGCTGAACTTTTCAGGAAATGGGCAGGGCCATTGTAAGGCATGGTTTGTTACTGGCTGCCCTCATTCAAATAAAAAGATTTTCCACTGGAGGACTTGCAAGAACCTGGGCTTTTCTTAGTTAGCATGTGGTTCCATTCCGCCTTCAGACTCTCCTTCCCTGGATGTACAAGGAAAGAGTAATATGGTTTGGTTCTGCCTCTTGTGGCAGCCATTTTTGGGATGGTACTCACCATCTCCTCAAAATTTCAAAGGTAGCTGCAGGGTCAAAAAGGTTGGGGACCTTCTTTTAGGGCATTATGTTTTTGTGGATGACAACTGCTCTTCAGTATAATTTTGGTCAGGAAAATGAATGGAGTGCACAGATTGAGAGATGTGCCTTAGCATTATGATGGCATAAAGGATGCTGGGATCATATTCAGCAACTGCCACTTAAGCAGTGCGCAAGGCAAGGGGTGCACTGTGCATGGGCGTAGACTTTCCAATTTCCCGGGGGGGGCTGGGGCTGGGCCAGAGGCATTGCTGTGCTAGGAGCAAGGGTGGCTGGAACCAGTTGCTCCCGGGCAGGGGTCTTTTCATAGAATAAGAGCTGCAGGAGCTCATTAGCATAACTCATTAGCATATGCCACACCCCTGACAGAAGGCCACAGCCCCTGACATCACCGGACATGTGTCAGAAGACAGCACACACCGCTCCGGCTCCACTGGACTGTTTTGGATTAATAGCTGGGGGTGAGGAGAGAAATCTGCCCTCACAGAGGAGGGAGAGCCTGTACCTGAATAAAACTCGGTTTTAAAGGTGCCACTGGACTGTTTTGGTTTACTGGCTATGGGGGTGGGGGGGAGTGAGCAGATCTGCCCTGACAGAGAAGCCAGAGCTGGTTCCTATAGAACTTGGTCTTAAAGGTGCCACTGGACTGTTTTGGTTCACTGGCTATGGGGTGGGGGGGGGGGGGATGAGCAGATCTGCCCTGACAGAGAAGCCAGAGCTGGTTCCTTTATAGAACTCGGTCTTAAAGGTGCCACTGGAGTGTTTTGGTTTACTGGCTATGGGGTGGGGGGTGGAGGGATGAGCAGATCTGCCCTGACAGAGAAGCCAGAGCTGGTTCGTATAGAACTTGGTCTTAAAGGTGCCACTGGACTGTTTTTGTTCACTGGCTATGGGGTGGGGGGATGAGCAGATCTGCCCTGACAGAGAAGCCAGAGCTGGTTCCTATAGAACTTGGTCTTAAAGGTGCCACTGGACTGTTTTTGTTCACTGGCTATGGGGTGGGGGGATGAGCAGATCTGCCCTGACAGAGAAGCCAGAGCTGGTTCCTATAGAACTTGGTCTTAAAGGTGCCACTGGACTGTTTTTGTTCACTGGCTATGGGGTGGGGGGATGAGCAGATCTGCCCTCACAGAGAAGCCAGAGCTGGTTCCTTTATAGAACTCGGTCTTAAAGGTGCCACTGGAGTGTTTTGGTTTACTGGCTATGGGGTGGGGGGTGGAGGGATGAGCAGATCTGCCCTGACAGAGAAGCCAGAGCTGGTTCCTTTATAGAACTCGGTCTTAAAGGTGCCACTGGAGTGTTTTGGTTTACTGGCT